GGATCCACCAATGCTCTTCACATATTATACATTTAAAACAAACAAAAGGGTGACAATTCTGACATACAGCACAGCTTATTTTAACACTTCTATTATATATTTCCTCACCACTAGATGGAGGTATCTTATATACTATATAAAAACCTTTATGGAGTTTACTATTCATAAATTTCTATTAATAGTTCTTAAATATTATTTTGTTCGGGATATCTTAAGTTTCAAATCCCCAGCCAGGCTAACCACTTCCCACTTATTAGCTTTTGGTGGCTTCACAGGTCCTTTTATTCGACTCGCATGTCTCCATGCACCTAGCCCGACACTCCCAAAAGAGCGAACAAGGGGGGGAAACTCGAATTTCCGGCAAACTGTACACGCCTAGGTGAAAATCACCCCACACTCGTTTGAGGGCTCTGTCTTCAGACTTTTGCAAAAGATCTCAGTGCAAAAGGGCGGGACTGTTTTTTCTTGTTGCTGTGTATGAATTTTGACTGCTTGGTGTAGCAAAGAGACAACAAGAATTTTAAACTGAAGGAGTGCTTCCCAAGCAGATTTGGTCTCATCACCCGTCACTGTCGGACACGAAATAAGTCACACGGACGCAGCTCAAGAGATGGTGAAGAAGAAGCAAACTTTATTTCTTCTCTCACAATTTATAGCTTTCTGACCATGGCCAGGGATTGGGTAGTCAGCATAACACCTTTCCAACCACACTGGCCGTAAGAGATGTCCATCAAGAGACGTGTAACAGAAGGAATGCATACATATCTATGTTTATCGTTACTGTCCTGGGAAAGTTCTTTAGAAACTATGTCAACAAGCTCCAAAGCGGAGTTTTCAGGGCGACAGTCACCCACACAGGGAAGCAAAGGGTGATGCAGCAAAAGCTGTGTGTGTGCATAACTTGATACCTCCCTGCAGTGGTTTTCCCTTTGTAAAAATGAGTGAAAATGGCAGTGCAGAAGTTAAAGCTGCATTTTATGCCCTATTAGCAAAACACAGTGCCAGACCTTCTCTGGGAGGGGAAGAGTGTGCACTTAATAACTGGTTTAATTTGGGAAATGTAATTGATAGAATATGTTCCTTACAACATGAAACAAAATTTAAACTGGGCAAAAATATATACTCTGCTCAGTTTTGGGAGCTTGTCTTACAGAAGCTATAGAAACTCACTTTAAGCAAAGAAGCAAGGAAAGAACTATTATAGACTCCCTTCAAAACCTAGTTGAAATTTTGCAAAAACAATTAGATGAAGAAAGGAATGAGATCCACCTGTTGCCAGCGGCCCAAAGAGATGTGTTAAAAATTCAAAGTGGGCTTACTCACCAAAAGAAACAGAGGAGAGAGAAACCCCTCTCATTAATCAAATTTACCCTCAAAAAGAACTAACCGATGAAAAATTGTGGGGAGCACTGCTGTCCTAGCTGGAAACCTTTAATTAAAACAGAATATAATCATATCAATGATGAAGATACTGATCCGCATACAACCACTGAAGAAATCCTGTACACTGCCACTGAATTGGCTAAGTTGAAAAAGGCGTACAGGATTCCCTCACGAGTCAGAGACAAAATATGTATTGTGATTATCTCTCACTGGAGGAGATCAGATTCAACTGACAGGTGAAGAAGCCAGTGGGTACTGGGGACTTCTCAACAGCAGGAGACAGACGTAACCCGTGGTCCCTAACTCAGCGTGCAACTTATTGGGCAGCAGGGCTTAACCCCTTGGAAAGAGGAGACCTATAGCTATAGTTGGTACCCCTGACCAACTACTGGAAGACATGCACAAAGCTGCCTGCTTGCAAATGATACATGACAGAAAATCAACAACTGGTTATGAATCACCAATGCAATTACCTGTGAAATGATGAGCCCTTTAATTTGAGGCCTTCCAGAATCACTTAAACCTAGAGCAATTCTCCTTCAAAAAACCATAGCAGCTCTAACTCCTGTTGTTGGCACTAAAATAAAAGTGCACTGTGGGGGCCGAGGAATCGAGTGCTGGTGATCCCCTGCAGATCTTCATCATAGGCCAGGCACTTTCCCCTCCCAGTGAGAAAAGTGTCTCTCCCAGAAACCCTTTGGTGTTACATGTTAAACTCTTGTACCCCATTGGTGTTCTTCCCTGCCATTCCACCCTGCTACTTGTATCCAAGTTTCCCCCGCCCCTTCCCTTATAAACCCTGGTGTTGTTGTTTTTTGTTGTTATTTTTTTTCCCCAGTTGAGTGGAGCTGCTGTGCTAGCCCCCTTGGCAGAGGGCCCTGCACTAATAAAGGCTGATTTCTCTGTGGTAATTGCTGGCCAGAGCTCTAGTCCTTTTTCTCCCTGCATTGCCTGGGAAGGAGCTGCTGCTTAGCAAGTCATCACTTGCCAGGCCAGGAGAGGAACATGCCAGTGCCACTAAGAGCCATCCTTCTCAGGACACTTTTTCAGGAAGGTCGCAGCACCCCTGACATCCACCCCGCCGCAGCAGTGCACCATTACTGTGATTTAAAATTAAATCCCTTTGTGTCCTTTTGCACTGAGAGATCAAACGAATCTCTCACGAGGTCCACCTGTGTTAGCAGATCATGACAGAGCCCTCAGCAAACCAACCAGCACACACACAAGGACACAGATGGCACTTCCTGGCTGGGACAGGGCTTGTGCCTTCAGCAAAACCACCAGAAGCCAAGGGTTTCTGGCCATTTTCCCCGCACCATTCCACACCTGGGCAGCTTGCCGAGCACAAGCCCTTTTCCCCCTCTTCCGCTATACCCTGTACACCATGGGCAGCAAAAGAAAGCTCCTGGGAGTCTGTCTAACATAACATATCCTATATTTATATACTAAAGAAAAACAAAAAGAAGAAAAGAACAATCTTGAAAAAAAGGGAAATCTTTGCCTGCTCATGTGGCCCCAGCAGACAGATCAGCTCTCTGCAGACCTCCAGCAGCACAGCCAGCTGAGGTCCGATAGACGAGGCCGTGACCTCCATGCCCTGCGGAGCTGATCTCGCAGCCTCTGGAATGTGGAGATCGGAGCGGGGTCTCCTGCCCTCAGCAGGCACAACGTCTGAACTGCCAGGCTTCCGACCTCCAGGCTGCTGTCATCCATCGTGTCTTCAAGGGCTGGAAGAGAGACAAACAGATCCCAGACCTGCAAGGGCCCCCGGAAAGCCCCCTGCCAGAGCCATCCCAGCTGGCTCTTGCCATGGCCAAGAGGGAGCAGGGACCAAGGGGAACAGCCCAAAGCTGCGACCATGAACACCCCACGTGCCCCTGAAATCTCGGTGTGCTCTGCCCACGCTGCCCCTCATCCGCACATTGAGCAGAGCCCTCCGCAGCCAGGCCAGGACTTGCAGCTCCCCCCGCCAGCCCCGCTGACAGCCCGCTGCCCTCACTCACATTGGTAAATGAGCTGCAGCTCTTTCTTCTGCCCCATCAGGAGCCGCCCGGCAATCCCTGGGAACACAGAGCCTGTCAGGGCCCCGGCGGCACAGCTCCCTGCTAGCGGCGCTGCCAGCCCTGGGGCCACACGCCCTCCCGCCCCGGCAGGGCTCAGTCCCAGCCCTTGCCGCATCCTGACTCAGCCCAAGGGCACGGCTGCCAGAGGCCGGCAGCAGCCCCGAGAGCAGCCGGGGCTCCAGGGCGCCGGGCCCGGGG